TTTTTTTTTTTTTTTTTGCTAACTGTAAATAAAATCTGCAAAAAAAACAAAAAACTAAATCTGATTAAAATACTGCAAAAAAAAACCCAATGCAAACGTTTAAAACAGACATGTAAACAAGCAAATCTTATAAGGCCTATAAAGAACAAATTTAAAAAAAAAAGGTTTGACTGAGGTACGTAAATAGTGTTTTCTTTTTTTTTTTTTGTAAACGATTTGATTAACAGTTTTAATTCTCATCTGTTGCCTATCAGCAAAAAAAAAAAAAAAAGAAGAGGAAAGATTACAAGTTGATTGAATAAAACCTAAGTATAAAAATATGTAAATTGGTTACCTGAGAACAGTTCTACTCGAATACTTCAGACATCAATTTCATTGACAGAATATTCCCAACTATCGTTCGCTGCAAAAATCTCTTTTACTTTTGTACTGCAAATAGGTCTCAAAAAAGCGGTTTGCGAAACTTTACAAAGAAAAAAACAACCATAAATTTTTTTTTGGCATTTTAACTAGTTTTAGAAGCAATCTTAAAGCTGGTCATTTTTATATTCAATAAATTTACCATTGAAACGTTGCAAATTATGATTTTTTTTACATCTTTTTTTAACAGAAGAAAACAAATTATGATGACTAAAAAAGTGTGCTCAAAATTAACTAACTGTTTGATGCATATTTTTGATAGCTGTTGAAAACCGATTCTTCTTGATGGTTTCTTTTCTTCAGCCACTTTGCCTACCTCAAATGCAGTCGACTGTTTCTTTTTAAATAGAAAAACAAAAAAAAGCCTTATTTTTCTGCATTTGAACATATATAAAGTTATTTAACAAGCATTCTTGTAAATATTTTTTTTTAGATGCTATATCAAAAATGAAAAAAAATTGGGTAAAATTTTAACTATAACTTCTAAGCCGTTGATTGTATCAACTTTAAACAGCAAAAACTTCTTCACCAATATCAACCAAAAATTCCATTTGCTACAAATACCTATTTAGAACACTCCAAAAATTTGCTTAAAAATCAGCCAGTAAAAAGAATTATCCTTTTTGATAGGTAACTATATCGTTAGACAGATATTAATTGATACAGCATGGCAAAAATAAAATCACAAAAATGTGCAAAGAAAGACGGTTAAGAATTTTGCAGGCACTATCTAAGTGTGTAATATTTCTGCACTTAGTTACACTTAGACCATCAGCTAAGTAAGCCGATATTTAACTGTAATGTATAGTGCGTGTACCACAAAAATTCTACAATAATTCTTATGTTTTTTCTTTAGATTGGATTTCCACTTTTTTTGTGGTATACAAAACAAGACAAATTAAATCTTCTTTTCTGTTTCCTTCTTATTCTTCTTAAAATTCAGAACTAGCATTTACTGATTCTTCTTTCTGACGTATGTATTTTGTCGTCGTCATTTCTGAATTACTAAATCTTCTTGCAATCAATGTGTTGAAGAAATAAAGGTGTCGTAGAGTAAAGAAAAGTAGATAAAAAGCAGAACCGAACAGAATACCATTGTAAAATCTTTCTTAAGAATTGGTGTTTAACATCTTTGTTGGCCACAAATTTCTGTTACTGGCTGGACACTGATAAACAGTTGAATAAATTAAACTGCAGTAACCATCAAAATATAGTGATCAAATAAAGCAAACTACTTGGAAGTAAATTTCACACCAACTATTCCTTAACCTACAGCTACTAAGAAGTCAAATTCAGATAAATCTTCTGTTAAACAGCTCAAAAAAAAAATCTGTTTTATGAT